AATTGTTTTCAATTTAAAGTTACTTGTTGTTTCTTGCAAAATGAAGAACAAATCATACCTGCAACACTTCTCCGCCCTCTGCCATTATATTTAATTTTTCCATGATTTAACAGAACCGCCTACTTCACACCTTGTTTTTATTATTTACAACGCTCCATGGATACGATATATGATTAAAAAAAACGTACTAATTTTGGCGTCAACTTTGACGTCGCGTTTATACAATAACGTAATTGGACCACTATGTTGGAAATTTCTTGTCACGGCTCAAGTGTTTTAAATATTTCAAAATTGAAACAAAGTTACACTTAAAATTTCATGATTCTTCGAGTATTAATTCGCATTCTTAGATTTTCCAATCTTGTATATTTCTATCATAATTTATATGTTGTGTCCCACCATAGTTTTATAGTTCATAATTGATATATAACCTATGTTCCATATTTTCTTTTCTTTCCTTTATAAATTAGATTACGAAAGATTTGTTTCTGCTTACAATCATTATCATACCAATTTTTATTTAGTGTATGGAAGCAACAGTTTGGCTATTTACGATATTGTTTACAAAAAATACAAAAGAATGCCGGTGAAAAGGAATTCCTGTGCCTAAGATTTTCGTCAATATATTCATTTTTTTACTATAAAAAGAAGTCTTTATAACACAGTGATCTGATAAGACGTTTGGATCTTCGATTTCAAATGTTTTAAAAGAGGAAAGAAAAATCATTACTCAAAATAAAATCTACAGTCCTTAACCTGAATCTTTTACACATGTGTTACTTAGTATTTACTGACATATTTCACCTTTTCGGCACACTCGTTAATTGTGCGGATACATATTAATGCAAAATGGTTTACTAAGAGTTTCCAATTTCTATTGCACGGGTAGAAATAGAGCTTATTATTTTACATCTTATGAAATAAAACCAATGCATTTTCAGCATTTTCACCATGTGAAATAACGACAGAAATCATTTAAGGACCCAATGTTATCAATTTAGCCTCGTTTTTATTTCCGGAGTACAAAAAGTCCATATCAATTCTATATTACATCCCACGTAGCCTCATTTCTATTTTCAGAGTCCAAAAGGTTCATATCAAATTCACATCGCACCCAACTAGTCTCTTTTTCATTTCTTGAGAATCAAAAATTAGTTTAAAATCCTTATTGATTTTGAACTAACAATGTCTGTCAAATTGTCAAAAAGGGTGGCGTAAAATAAAGGGGGCATTAAACATTGTTGATAACAATGTTTATTGTATTGTACTTGTACACAGCTGCAAAACTACCGCCTCATCCAATATAGTTTTGAAATCTGTGTACTCGTCCAACACTATCAAGTACGGTACTAAACCTTATATGTGACTTTCTAACTTAGATTTCTTTATCCAGCATGTCTAACGTGTCATCCACTATAAGTTTGAATTTTTTTATCAGAAGAAGAGTTGGTGAATACGTGAGTGATGATTATAATGATAATTGCGCAATTGATGTCTGTGATAAATATTTAAACGATGACGGTGATGGTGACGATGATAATGATGGAGATTATTAGGGTGGTGACGATTATAATGATGAAAATTATTGATGTGGTGATGGTGGTGCTGGTGATGATGATGATTGCTATAAAATAAGATCCAATAAGTTTAATGCATTTTTTTAAAAACAAATGTCATTGCAATGCCACTTTTAAATGCATTTTCACAAAAAAAGGAAAGATAGAAAAACGAAACACATTTACTTTTTAAACAATGTAATAATGTAACAATTTTGGTGGTTTCCATTTTTTTGAAAGTGCGTAAAAGTATTGGTTATTTTGACAAAACACCGGCATGGCAAAAAGAAACCAACAGCTTTTAAATGCATTTATCTAATTTCTAAGTAAAAAATAGCATGCATGTATTCATCAGGTAGAATATCTAGTTTTGTGAGTAGTGATTCATCTTCTAAATAATCAAATAAATAAATAAACAAATCCCAACTTTGCTGTTTAATGAAAATGTTATATTTATCTTAAAATGCATTATAAAATACAATATGTAACAGAATGTTTTCAATTTTTGACCAAACAATTATATTATTGCATGTGACTTCCAAAAATTTAATATATGCTGAAAAATCTAATAGATGTAATAAAATCTCAAATGCTGCTAAGAGAATGTTGACAATTGTGTAATATGTAAGATCGTTGACACTGCAATCAAGGTAGTTGCCTAATAATCTGTATAATTATGAAAGTATAATTATTCAAAAGAAAAGAAAGGGAAAAAAAGAGAAAAGAATACCACCAGTAAGAATATCTCGGTCTCCTATTGACTGATAATATGTTTCTTTTACGTAACAGGTGTATTTTGTTATTAATTTACTGCTTAGTCTTTTGACCTATCTTTGGACTCATTCTGCTAGGTGTTTATAAACGAGTGGTTGTGATTTTTCTATTCTTGTGTTTTACATAGGATTTAGCCCGTATATGCGTACTTTTGAATTTACTCGTACTTCTGTTTTGATGACTCTTTTAGAAAGCCCAACGCGGCAAAATTGAAAATGTTGCAGGCTCGGTTTGATTAAGCCTGTTCATGGACGGTACTGTCAAGTGCAAACTACCGTCCACGCCCCCCTAGCACCGGCTTAAGCAGAATTCAACATTTAACATAAACTGGTAAAATTTAGAATTTTGAAACATCCGCAGATGTGTTCATATGGCGGTTATCATGGAACCTTCAATGTGACACGTTAGTGCCATTCCATGAAAAGCGGCATATGGTCCCCAAGTAAAAAAATGCGTGTGCCTTAAACGAGAAAACAATGGGCGGAACTAAATAACATGGAATTGTGAAAGGGGATCTGAGGTTATGAAACCTGCATATTACAGATATAACGTCAAAAGACAAATTTAAAAACCAGGCCTCATATCCTAAGGGTGATTCAACAGTATTCAAGTGAGGAATACTGGAACCACCCAACAAGAAAAATCCCGAATAGATAGAACTAAAATACCACAAGCACAACAATAATGTCGTGCTGAACGATCTTTAAGGATCGGAAATATAACATCCCTGATTGAATGTACGGGGCGACTTTTTACGGCCTCTTCACGGCACAAACAACGCTGATGTGGGATAAAATAGAGTGAAATAAGAATCCCTAAAGAAAGCCCAACGCGGCAAAATTGAAAGTGTTGCAGGCTCGAAGCCTTCTTACAAAATGTACTACTGAGGCAGATAATGTGTATGTTTAGGGCAGGCCTTTCATTTCCCACTTTTCTACAAAATATTTGTTACACTCTACAGTTTAACACTCTTAGAAAACAAAACAACACAAAATAAATATAAAAATGTTGTTTTATTGTTATTTTTATCGATCAATACAGAATTCTACCCTTCACTTTTTTGTGAGAATTACATTTAGATCTAGTGCCAGTGTTTTGTGCCTTCAAGAACAGTTTCCGAGACTGTGACGGTCTAGGTCTAAATACGAACGATCCGACCTTTTTGTAAAGTCAATCTAAAATCATTTTTTGGAATTTCTTAGGGTCATGTATTGTCTTGAGTTTATAAATTTTCAATGATAAGCTTTGCTGATTGTGATCAATTATGTTATTTAATTTTTTTAAAAATTGATTGCAAGTGACTACAGTTCATTCAACGTCAGCAGCCAACTTAAAAGTCACTGAGAGTTGATTACGTCATTCTGCACGTGCGCTCATTCACTCGCCCATTATGGAAAATAATGCCGAGTAGCAAGGCGGCTAAAATTGCATAATGACATAGATCTTGCTATAATGGCCCTGAAATACCCTAGATTTTGTTACTATATAATTATATAGTAACATAGGTATTAAAGTGTCGTTAAAAACTGGCAGTTTTTATTCAAGAAAATACCAACTTAACTTGTCCTGTAATTGGGAGCGCAGCTTCCCTTACAGAGCATTTTTAATTAGACATATTCTGTAAGAATTTCATAGATTTCAACAAATTTCCGTAATAAAAATATTTTACTCGAAAATGAGCATAGAATACCTTTAAGCATTTTGTTTAGAAATAACCTATAAGTACATATAGACATTCTAAAAGATGGAATAAAAATATTTGCCAACCACAATTACTGCTTTGAACATTTTCCATATGTACGCTTTATTAAATGATAGTTGTTGGAAATGAAACATTACACTGAATACTTGATGTCTAGAACATAACCGATCCAATGATGTGATATTGACACAACCGTTCAATTTGTATTTCCTTCATTTAGTTCTTGTTGGAGATTTTGAATACATGTCACATTTAGATTTTCCATCATATCAGACCGGCAAAAGCCTTATTGCAGGCACGTGTAAGCATATGTTTAAAATAAATATAAGCAACTGTCAACGTGATAAAAAAAATCCTGCTAAGAACTTATTTCGTGTGAATGTTCTGTTTAAACATTACGCAACACAGACTCGTATAACATAGGAAAAAACGGTGAAAATTAATAATTAAAGATCAATTTCGTTTTATCTCTATTGGGTTTAATTAAAAAAACAAAAAAAAACAAAAACAGACATTGATGTAAAAAAATCAGTTGAAAATGTGAAAATGGGTGTAAAATAGATTAGTATAATCATAATACAACTTGAGTACATTACTCATAGCTACACAGTCTTATCTATGTACATTTGTACAGCTTTTAATTTTTAAATATTTATACCATGTTTTGTTATCACACAAGTAAATTTGTTTTGTTTTTGTTTTTGTTTTTTTTTTTGTTTTTACTTTGAACAAAAGTTGCCAGGTTTAACTAAAACTAAAACTGATAATTATATTTAATGATTTTTAAGATAGATGGGGTGCATTTTTTCATATTTGAAGAAAACACAAATAATAATATACGATATATAAAGACATATGTATAGTGCCGTATATTGTAATATATTGAGTCTGAAAGTCAATATTTAGTTTCTGTGCGAATAAAGGTTGTTTATATACATTCAAAGACATGTTTTCCAGCAGATAAGAAGTAGCAAAATGGCGACCGGTGATGACAGTTTCTCAGCCTCCGTGACACAATCATCAGATGTTGTATGTAAATTTTCTTGTTCTCCATGCAATGAAAATGGAATCGTTTCGGAAGCAGTATTCAAGTGTCTCCACTGTCAGACGTTTCTCTGTATTAGATGCTACGAGGGCCACAACAAATTTGTAAGAAAACACACTATTGTTAATGTCAACGCCGAAGAGACAGGTCCAAAAATAATACAAATGAAAGGATATACTTGTGACGAACATAAAGAAAAGTTGATTGAAATGTTCTGCCAGGACCATGATGCGGTTTTCTGCTCTGCTTGCACAAAGAAACATAGGTGAAAGTTTTTAGACCTACAAATGCATGTGACTTTTCTTTAGCAAATTAAATACATTCTAAATGTTCTTTGTGTCATTTTAAAAATATAATGCAATGCCGTTTAAACAAATTCTTAGCTAAATACCTTAGCTGAATATGAAGTGATAATATGTTGATAAATATAATGATTTTTTCTATAATTTTACAGGTCATGTAAAGGGGTTAACTACATTCCAGATATTGCTGACACCATTCTACAAGACCAAAACAAAATTGCAGTCAAACTAGATCTAGAAAATCAATTTTCGGAGCTTCTTATGATTAAATCAAGCCGCAAAAAATATTTGAGCAAACTCAACTCTGACAAATATAAAACTATTAATGCAATAAACAAGTTCAAAGTAAAGTTGTTAAAAAAAGTCGAAGAATGGGAAAAATCGTCAATTTTACAAGGTAAAGAAAGATATGAGGAAACGACAGCTAATATCAACTCTGACCTGCATAATATTGACCAGCTTTTTGGTGATGTCAAGAAACAGCTGTCTAAAATGAAAGAGGGCAAGTATGACGATCAAATGGATGAATTTGTTACATTGAAACTGTCAGAACGTCAAGTGAAGAAAGTAAAAACCCGCACAGCAGAATATATGTGGAAACCAGTAGAAAAAATAGAGTTTAAGCCTTGTGACGGGAACATATATTTTGGAAATTTGCATTGTAAGTTGTCAAATCTTTAGCATTTAAGCATTTTTGGCACAGTAATCGCTAATATCTTGATTTCTTTCAATACATTTAGTTTAAGAAATCACTGTTTTATAACATTTCTTTAATTTGATTTTCATAATTTCAGCAGTTTTTCATGTCAAAGATTTATCAACTTTAAATTGCATTAGTTCTCGTATTCCTGTATTGATCAATTCGTTCACCGTGACCAAGTGGATTGGTCGACCGACTTCATATAGCTTTCCCCGTAACGCTTTTGTTTCATATTCCCTCGGCGACATTGAATTCGTTATTTGGAAAAGCTATCTAGGTAGCTAACAGTCCCGTATTGACATGCAAAAAAAATAGATGTCCAAAAAATGTTGTTTATTAAATGCCTAGGACATGTTATCATTGAACCGTCCATTCGCATGAGATTTACCTCAAACGACAAGTTATGATTATTTATGCAATCGTAATTGAACGGTAGAAATGTACATCAAATGTATCATCAACTCATTTGCATAACAATGTGAACAATTTAGAAAATACATATGCGTCATTACATTTTTTAATTACTCAAAGCGATGCGATCAAAATAATAGTATTTTGATTTCTTGATAGGTTGTTTTTATTTATTATTACTTTATTGTCTAAAAAGATATCTGACTAAACTTTGTTTCGTCTGTTATAAATAATAATATAATAATAATTATATAAATAATATTTAATTTTGATATATTAAAATTTGAATATATTTTGTTGATGGGCCAAAATCGACCAAAAACGTACCAAGTCCTTTGTTTAAGTTTATTATCGATGTTTGTTTGATCAATACAGTCTTAAGCGTTATCTGTATAATCTTTACACAAATCTTGTTCGGTTTTGGTAACATTATCATAAAGTTGATATAGCTGTATATATTATTTTGTTAACCCAACTATGTACAAATTTATTGCATTGCTGCAAAGTAATTATAGAAATGAGCTATGTAAACTAGCATTATATTACAAAAATGCTATAACTGTTAGAACTACAGTGTTAAATAATGTTCAATGATAGTTATTAAAAATAAAGTTTAATGATAGATTAAAATTCAGTTGTTATATTGATTTTTCTTCTTAAATATGTTCATCCTCACTTAACTGAGGCTTAATAACAAATATCTGAAGTTTCATTACAATTAAAAACGGCGCAAATCCGTAAGCAGCGTAATGACGTAATCCTTAGTATACAACTCATTTATAATGCTGACGTCATTTCAAACATAAAATAATGATAAATGGGACACTAAATTAAATGTAAACACAATACAATCCTTTCCAAGACGTAAGTTTTTATTGTCGAAATAACGTTTATTCTTATAGTTTCTTTTGTTTAATAATTTGTATATCTTAGCAACAGTATGGTGCAAAACTCGAACAGCCCTATACGAAAATCGGCACCAGAAGTTATTTTCGCTTGAATAAAATAACATTAAAGTGATCTTCATTATTTCATCGTGTTAGAATCGAAATAATATCGGTCTTAGCGGTGTTTATCGGCCATTTAACAGCCGTTTTGTCGTTTTGAAAATTGAGCGGTCTTTTGTAATTACTTATTTTGTTAACTTCAGGCCTTTCTATGTTTGCGAGTATTTGATTATTACTTATTGTCATTATTATTATCATTATTATTATTATAATTCTTATTATTATATGATGATGTTGATCTTTCACATAATCTATAAGATGTAAGCCTCGGTTTTTTGACATACCGGAATCGGCGGGGAATTACCGAAATCGGCGGGGAATTACCGAAATCGGCGGGGTATTAAGAGAAATATGATATAGTAGATATACTTGAAATATCATATGTGCTTAGTATTGCACTGTAAATTAAAGTGATATTATGCCCATCCAAGAGTATATAGTGAGTGAACGGGTGAAAGTCAAAATAAGTTTTCATTTTGCCATAATTCCTTTTAATTTAATAATTAAGTTCGCATAAACAATTAAAAACTCACAGATCCAAACGAAATTTCTCTTAATATCTATTAGGGTTAATCTATAATGCTTAGTGTATAAAAAGAGTGGCAGTCGTTTTTAATTCAAGACAGATTTATATTTTTATCATAAACATTTTCCAATATCAACTGTTGGTCAAACACCATTTTGACAGTCAATCTTTTCAAATATAAAGTCTATTCAGCTCAACTTAAACATGAAAATATGAGCATAATGTCACTTTAATTTTTGTGTATTCATATCACTTGATATGATATCTTCTATCTTCTAAAATTTATTACTTTTATATTTAAAATAATCATTCTTGAGGACTACAGTACATGTAATATTTTAACTTCACAGTAATACTATATAGAGTAAAACTTTCTCTTCCTAATATTTTTTTTCTTCAGTTTTTCAAAGACCGCTAAATGCTGTTTACATTGATCATACTTGGCGTAGTTCAACATTTGTCAAAGACGAGCTGGTTCCCGGTCTTCTTGAGATTGGAATACATTCCAAATGTACTCAAACGCATGGAGAAGTTGAGGCAGACGTTATAACAATTTATGTGGTTTCAGATATATTAGATCTATTTCAGTTGGATGATTTCCTTCGTGAAGAGCGTTTCAACTTCTGTAAGACTCTTTTAATATTTGAATATTAAATATATGTATTTCAATATCTCCCACCGAAAACTATTTAGGTATTACTAAGTAGGTTGATAAATCTTGATAGGACATGATGCAGCTCACAAAATTGACGACTCACATTTTCATATGTTTTTTTTAAATATTACCTTTTTATTTTCCATGCTTTATTATCAAGAATTCAAGATTTTGTGTTTTCTTAAGAGTATTCAAATATAGTGTTTACTAAAATTCTGGTAAATTGTTGCAGAAGGAAAAATACGTATTGCATCTTTAACTGATTCTAAAATGAAAACTGTGTAACCCTTCAAATTGTTGTTTATCTACTTAAAAGACATAGTCATGTTGATAACACTTTTTTAATGAAAATAATGTTAATTTAATTAAAATTAAAATAATACTTTTCTTACTTTTCAGCAACAGTAAGAAAGTGCAATGGCCTTTTGTTATTTTTGTTGAGGGAAGAAAACAATTTTACAAAAAAGGATGTGGAATTTTGGGTTCGCGACAAACATTATGTATGCATTGATATGAACAGCGCGTCATACAATGAAGACAAAGCGAAAGCTATTCAATTTATCAAAGAGAGCTTGGAAGATGAAACAAGAAATAACAGTGTTTTTAAAACATAAATGAAATAATATACATGTATGTGGTCAAGTATTATGTATCCGAAGTTATAGAACAATGTTCAATTTTATTCCAACATTCATATTTAAAAAATGGATATTTCGAACATTTGTATGAAAAATCGTGTATACTCACATAAACATTTACATAACATACATTTAAACAGATACATAGCATGTTTGTCACATTAGCGTTATTTATGCCGCGACGCATCCATGAATGTGATAGTACCGGTACTAAAAGATCGTTTAGCACGATATTCTTGTTATGTTTGTGATATCTTTTCTTGGTTGGTGATTTCAGTATTTGTAACTAAACACTCACCGATAACCTGCAGGGTATCCTGACTGCTTTTGAAGTTATTTTTTTTTTGCAGAAGACACAGGCTTTATAACCTCTTATACCTCCTAAATATGCTCTTCTTTTATTTTTACCGACTGCATACTTGTTTTAGAAACATACTATCTGTTTTGTTACTTTGGATTGAAAACATCCTAATTTAACACCATAACCTTTTGCTTAAAAGTTTAACCAATGTCGGTGCTAAAAACTAGAATACTGGGAACTGGGATTCAGGATTGTATTTAAATGTTAGTTAATGTGAAGGCTGGTAAAACTCTAATTTATGTGATAGGTGTAGGTATTATCACAGGATCTGCCAAAGCTATTTCAATGCAACCTTGGTCGTCTTGTTTATTATCAAGATGTGACTGTTCATAGAAAGGGAAAATATTTAAAAAAACGTTAAGTGATAGTTTAAATACTTTTAACCCGAAAAACAATTCTGTTAACTTAAAGGTTAATTCCTCAAAAGTTGTCACAGATATATATTCGCTTGGAATTTGAAATAGCTGTCCATTCTGACAGTTGAAATGTATTATTCCTTATAGCCGATAACTCGGGAAGACGATTTTTTGTTTGTTTTATCACCTGTTTTTTATATCTTTTTATTCTCCATTTTTCTTCAAACTTGTGCCCTATTTTCTACTTTTCTGATTTATAATACTATCCAGATCTGGGATAAGTAGAGAGCGCTGCGCCTCGGACAACCTTTGTTTATTTAAGAAATCAGATGTGTCAAAACGTAGTCGGTCAACAAATATTTGTGCCAACGCTCTGATGTTTATTTATCTGACACAGCTATATAAGTTATACATTTTTTGTTTTAATTTACAATCTTTTCGATACGGTATCTTGTATAGTAACATCTACTATACTAGTATATCTTTCTAAAAATAGCAAGCAATTATGCCATTCCTTGACAACTTGTTTGGATTATACTGCACATGTCTGTTTTGTTTTTTCTATTTAGTTGTAGAGAAGCAAATTATTAGATTTGTTTCGCAATATATTGTCTTTTATATGAAGTGTATCTTAATATTGTAATTATTTGGAAATTTTCCACACATTTAAACATATAAAAGAATATAAACTATAAATTATTATACAGCGTAAGCACGAGCTTTTGCACAAACATTTGTGTATCTGATTCATTTCATTTTGGTATTAATGTATATTTTTTTATATAAGCGTGTGCAAACTGTATTTAAAATTAACAACAATAATTATATCATTTTATTATGTAAATAAAACCTTCGGCCAACAATATGCTATATGGTTAAAGTATGTACGCATATTATAGCTGTGTCTACAATACAAATTGTTATATATAACATGTTTTCCCCTATTTATTTATTATTATATTGAGTGTTTTAACATGAAGGGACTGAAAATATTTTTTCAAGACTTTTGTTCTACCATATGTAGGTCTGAACTAATAACTTGTGTGCAAACTTTTAGATAATTTGTTCACTCCGCACTGTCTGGTATAATCAATTATATTGTGCAAACTGACCCCCAAATGAAAAGCGTTGCAACGCTTTTCACTCAAATCGCCAAGACAACAGCATAAAAGTCCATTATAAATTTAGTACCGAGTGTATCCTTTTATTTTCTATTGCATAGTTTTTGATTTTAAGTGCACCAATTGATTGATTAAAGAGTTACAAATTTTATAATTTTTGGCTATTAGACCTCAGTGGAGGTCCTTTTAGTAATCCATTATTTTCATAACTTCATGAACAGGAAATCAAAATTCCTTTTTTCTTACCATTTTGAGTTTTTATCAAATTAATAAAATTATGGAAAGTATAATTATGACTGTACTTTGGAGATATATAACGTTGTGTGTATTAGCAAAATATTTTACAAATATAAAATACATGACATTCATTTTGCATTGTCGTCCAGTTTCTCTCTCTTTATTTGTGACTTGAACATCTTAATCTGGATAATAATTTCTTCCATCCAAACTTTTGTTTTACAATCAATTATCATTTGTTTGAATTGATGAATAAACCATTTACTTTATCTTGTCTAGTTAGCATTATTATTTATTTATTTCTAAGATACCTATGTTTATGTATTACAGAGATGTTTACATTAATATTTAATAAGTTTAACATGAGCGCATGATACCACATTCTCGCAGTGCAACATTATAATTTACAGAGTTTTTTACACCTAGAAAATTTCCAAAATTTTGTATCTAGACTTGTTTAAGAATTTCGGATATTTCGCTTCTATACATTTCAACACCATAGGTACAATGTAAGTATAGGTTTTACCATAGAGTCAAAAAACTGAAAAGTGAAAAAGAAAATGAAAAAAATCAGAGTGTAATGACTTTCCAGATTGTTTTGTGTAAATAGACTTGTGCAGCAAGTTTAGAAAGATGTTACAAATTTTATTATTTTAATTACTCAGCACATTAATATAGTATATATAATATTAGAAAATTTCTAATAAAAGAAATAAAACTACCGCTCCAAGTATCTGGCAATTAACAACAACAAGAAGAACAACAACAAAACAGTACTAAAGATCGTTTTACAAAGGACAGGCGCAATTAGTGTATACAATTCTGCTCAAAGACCGTCTTCATCAGAGGAAATTTTAGAATTTAAACACAGACTTTCCTCCTCAGAATTTTCGTTAAAGTTCCAGTGACCTTCATATAAGATTTCTTTTTCATTTTTGCTTTTGCTTTTTAAAGTAACATAAGGAACAGATGGAAATAATCAAACCACTTTTCCGTATCAATCAATCGAGATTGCTTTTTATTACCATTTTTAAATTTTAACAATTTCTGAGAGGCATATAATTTCACATTCTAATGTTACTGTTGAAAATGAATCTATATCAAACACTTTCGATAATTATATATAAAACAATACAAGACTGTGTATATTCGTGATTGAAACTGATTGTTATCATGTGAGATTTAATATACACTAAAACACTACCACTGTTACCAGCAGATTTTAAAAGTGTGTTATCAAAACACGTGTACCCATCCAGAATGTTTGCGATTTCATTTTTAAAATCATTCCAAGTTTCGATTAAACCATCAATGTCAGACCCCTGTAATTAGTTAGAGAAATTATAATAGTCACCTGTGGGAAGGGCCAACACTCTAATGTTGTTAAAATTTTAGGCCCGACCCTTTTGCTTTTATGAATAACTTTATCATCCATGTAATAAATGTGAATTTATTTGTTACTGTTTTGTCTTATGTTTGCGTGTGGCATTGAATCTGTTTTTGCATACTATGCGAATGAAAAAAAAACAATAAAATATGATTAAACTAAAGAGGCATCTACATGTTTCTTTAAATCGCAATCCCAAATCTTCCATTTGAAAATGTTTATATTTACACACGGACCTTGATCTGTTACATAGTCTCCACCTAAAATCCCACTTTCGATTCCACCTTCGTTACCTGATTGGTCGCCATCGCTGACGTAGAGATCACGAGACCCCGTTTCCAGATAAAAATCTCGATCATGTGGTCCTGTTACACTTTCATCTCTCCTTTGTGTGGATCAGATTTACATAATCTGAGTGGAAATATCGTCATATTTGTTGCTCCGCGCCATAGGCGCTGAGCTATTTGTGTTCACTATCTTTTTTGTCCATGGACCCGATTTTTATCAATTAATCCCTTCGATTTACAGCTAAAAATAAATTCGGAATTAAGAATTTCTTGCGATTTCTATAATTATGAAAAGTCATATATTGGTTTCCCCTTCGGTAATCCGCAGTATGTCTTATAAATGAGTGAGAATGGTAACAAATTTCACGCAAACAGTATAAAAGACTAAACATAAAAATAAACTCAAATTCGGTAATTTATTTCTTACATTTGTATATTCTACAGGAAATTAATGATTATTTTGTAGTACACAGTGGTTTATTATGTATTTTATTGATGTACATGAATTCAAAAGCTATAAATAGAATGATGATCTCAACATTGTGAAAGTCCGAAAATCTATTTATAGAAGAAGTTTTAGTTA